GTATAATCCTCTCCTACTCCTTTTGGTTCAGATCTGGTTCAGTTTATGGTTCAAGATTGATCCTTGAAAATATGATTTTTTCTAAATAGGGAATGCGATTCCCTGTTGAAGGGAGAGAAAAATTTTTGAAATTCGCCCCCTTTTTCCACAAGATTTGGGCATCCATATGATGGATCTCTTATTCCTTCAAAAGTATCTTCTTTTGTAAATTATATCAGAAATTATTATGTTGCACTGTTACAACATATAAATTTCCAAACCTTTTGTCCAAGCAAAGAAAGTGAATCAAGACTTATTTCTGCTTCTGAGAAATTAGCACTGATTTTAAACCAACTTCTTAATTATATCAACAGGATAGTATGCTAATGCTGATCCTAGCACAAGTTTACAAAATGCAGAACACAACGCAGATCAGTAAAGTCATTATATATAGACAAACATTATACTCAAAGGATGTGAAAATTCCAAATTCATGTTTTAGTACAGGCAATGAGAAAAGTAGCAGCTTCTCTGTCAAGAATATCATTTATCCTTAAAAAGAACATATAAAATGTATGAAAAGAATACTGTGCTGAGGCATACTTATTTAATTCTTCAGTCTTCAGCACTCCATTTCTATCAATGACATCTCTGCTGCCATAATTTGAGTTTCCAAAATTATGTCTTTGTTCAGCACTTCTAGCCAAGCGGTACAAACTATCTCTTATGCACAGCTTTGTCCTAATATCCAACTGAATTTACACAAGTTTATCTGAGTCAGTGCCAAGTTTATGTCAAGGAGAATTACAGAAATGGTAGATTCACTGGTAACATTAGTAATAAAAAAAGGACAGAAAAACGTTTATGGATTGTAAATATGAATCTTATATACATATGTCAAGCTTTCCAAAATCATAGCTTCTAATTCACTGGTCCTATCACATTTGCCCAATCACCATGGTCATCTCTAACCATAAAGGAATGTGGAACAAGAATTTGAAGCAGTAATGCAATCTGACCTTGCACTTGCAACATATTCACCAAGGAAAGTGTGAATTCAACAATATTGTTTTTCCTTTCTAATAATCTGAATTAACAATAAAAGAGTCAGCAGAATTCAGATTCATTAGGTGCATTCCTTTCTCTTAGGTTCACACCATGAATACAACTACTCCCATTATCATATGACAGCCACTTAGTTTGGGACTTACAGGACCAATAAAACAGTTTGGGCCCCATAACTTGTGATGAGTCCCATATTTATAAAATCAATGTCTGAGCTTCCCTTAGTGAAACCCATTCGGTTGTGGGGTCCAACCTGAATATGCAACAGATTGTGAGTTAACGCTCCCCTAGATTTTAGCTACCACTCCAGCAACTCCAAACCCAAGAGTACACCCCTCATTTCCATTGTATATTAGCATTTCCTTTAATTTCCATGTATGCATGACCATATACATGCGTAAGCACAGAAACATGTCTAGATGATTTTCCTAATGTTTTCTGAAGACAATTTTGTATTAAGAATAATTCTAAGAAACTATTGTACCTGTCCCATAACATATTGAAGCTGTTGAAAACTAGTTTCATCTACCGATACTTCATTTGGCAATGCAGAGCTCATGCAAGAGCTTTCTTGTACAGTTGAAGAATCTACTTCTACTGGTAAAAGTTCTGTACTCACTCCTTCAACTTCACTATTACCTCCAACTTCATCTTGAATCCATTGCATGTACCTCTGGGAAGTAATTTGATCAGTAAATGAAGACTGCTGCACTGATTCCTCATGCTGAGTATCTCTAACTAATGTGTCCTCCACTTGATGTTGCAGATGAAGTTTATCCATCTTTTCCTCCGATTTAATAGCTGGAGCCTTTGGTGAAGTATCACTAGATCCTTCCATAGGCTGGGCATGATCTGATACATAAGAAGACAACTTTGAAGAAAGAGAAGGAAAACTTCTGTTCTACAATTTAATACTGGATGTCATTTATGAGACAGGGATTTGATGTGATTCATGAAAAGGATGAGCATACTCACGGGGCAAAAAAGGAGTGGATGTATGCAAGTAACTCAAAAAATCAGGTTTGATATCTTGCTTTGGTTCTAGACCGTCTGGAGAATGAAAATTCTCTGTAGCTGAGGGCACAGATAGTGGAGGTCTTACATTCATAAATTGGTTTTGCTGCTTTGGATGCTTGCTTTGCAAAGTAATCTGCCATAGGATCATACATAAGTATGAAAATAGTAAATATAAAACAATCACGTTCAGATAACTTCCATATCAGATATGGATCAAAGTGGTTAAGATGACAAGATATAAAAACCGATGCTTCATATTTTAAAACAGATGTAAAGCTGGTGCAATGACCAAGCATTTCTGTCAATATACCATAGATATATCATAAGCAAAGTGATATAGAAAGAAGCATGGTTTTCATTTCTGTACAAGTGCTGTATATCTGTTATGAAAACTTCTGTGGATTACAATGGTAAGTCCTTGTTCTTTAGTGCATGCCATCATGAATTGATTGGTAAATAAAGATCTGTAACTATAGACTCATAATAAAGTAAAGAGGAAATAGAAATTATGCAATTTTCCTGTATTAGTTTGTTGATATACCATCATGCCAGTTGCATTCTTGGTTTTAGTGACAGATGAAATTTTGTCCTCTGCTCCATTAATCCCATTTCCCTGAAACATAAAGCAAAGACCACTAGCACAAACACTTTTCGGAGAAAAAAAATACAAATGAAGAGAAAAGGTAAACCTTGTGAAACAAATAAAATGCATAATCATATTGAACCATGTGATGATATGTAGCATTATGTGTTTTTTCTCAGTAACCTGTCCCCTGCACATGTTTTCATCCCTATTCTCAGCATTTGTACCCAACCAATCAATATATGATGAATGATCTAGAGTACCAGGGTCCCCAGCACGTACTGCCTGAACACTTGTTTCATAATTATTGGGATTATCAGAATCAGTAATCAAAGAACTGGGAGTGTCAGGCTTAAATTTTGGATCAGGTTGATGATGTTTTGATATACTTTTCACTTCACTTGATTCTAAATATGAAGATTTGAAGCCTGCCTTTGGAGGATCTCCAGAGCTGTCAATGGCATGAGAAGAAGAAGAAAACCATGGCATTTCATCACCATTACCAGGATTCCTTTGCCCAAATGTAGAATCACAGCTTCTGCAAGAATGAATGAAAGCACTGTACATCAGAAAGAAACATTGTTGTTAATTATCTTTGCACATAAAGTTCACAATGTCAGAAATATATCATTTTATTGATATTGGGCAAGGCAAGGAGGGGCAAGTAGTTAAGTATTTGGTTTTGCCACCAGGTAAGATTGTTTCTAATGATTTAGGTCGTTATCCCAAGGTGCAAAAGAGATGCCAAAACAGGACAGGTAGGCATGCAACCGTGTAAATCTGGTAAATAGAACTTCAGCATGGAGAACAAAAGACAAATTCTTTGTAATTACCTAAACATTTGGTCAACATCCTCAAAATTGCCAATGTCAGGCCACCCATAATACAAAAGGTCACCATTCTCCTTATCCTCATTTTCATTTCTGAAAAACTCAAGGTCACTGCCTGCTGGAGAAATATCACCAAGTGGGAAGTGGCACAAGCTGCCATCCATTCCAGAACTTCTACTGCCAAGCATTGGATCATCTGCACAGAGCCCATTGTCAATTGAATCTACGTTGCAGTTATTGAAGCAGTTACCAAGTATCTTGGTGTCATCGGAAGTTAAACTTGTCACTTCATTAATGGAATCAGTGTCACATGAAGCATGAAATACACCATCAGGTGTGCAAGACCAAGAACCCCTTTCCAACATTGGATTCTTTCCATCCTTTAGAATTGGAAACCTTTCTTTCTTTTTTTCTCGAATAGCATCCTCAGAAATATACTTGCTATCTGCATTCTTTGTTAAGGCACTTGCTGTTTCAAAGCGTGGCTTCTTGTGGCAATCAGCTTCAGGTGCACAATCATCCAGTTGTCCATCACTAGGTTGAGGCACTATATGATCATCACCTCCACCAAGTTCATCCCAAACAATATCTTCAAGCTGTAAAACCAATTAGAGCATTTAGCTAATAAGAAACATATATGTACTATAAAATTAACAGATCATAATTAAAGAAGAAAAAAGAGTAATAAACTTAAGAAACAAGAGTTGATGTCATAGTGTGAAAGAAAGCAAATCTTATTGATCACAATGGACATTTAAGATCATATTCATCGCAATAATCATCACTGAGGCAATTTATATCAACAAAATAACAATAAAATCTTGAAGAAAGCATTTAGCAACCAATAAGGTTCAACGTAGAGATAAAAATAAAAAGCTAAGATGCCTTTAGGTAAATGAGCCATTTTTCTATGCTCTTTTTCTAATTTTTTAGTTTTTCATGTGGGAGATGAAAATAGCAAGCTATGGCACCATTCAGGAAGCTAGTTTTTTCTTGGATACATACCCAAATCTCAAATTCAGACATGCTCCTTATTTCAAAGATATTTACAAAAACTAATGAGAACAAAGGAGGCTTACTAACAATTCTCTGTTTTAAAATACACTACAAACATCATTAAAATGTCAATAAAATAGTGTTAACACAACATTCCTTGTGTCAGGTAAAGCCAATGATCAAATTACTATTAGTACTGAAGGGAGAATCAGTAACCCAATTTTAAATGTATATTGTGGATAAAGACAAGGATATCTAGATAAACTAGTGATGTACATCACATTGTAGAAGAGTCTCTGGAGTGTGAAGATTAGAAGAAAGCGAATCAGATGGATGGAAAGAGGACCTCAACTTCAAGAAGACATAACTTTCAATCCCAACATAGGCTCAGGATCCACAATGTATCAATGAAATGAACAGGCTTCAGGGAGTGAGTCAGTGAGATCAATGAAGATTTGGCTAGTAAGGAGCTATGCTACAAGGATACCTGTACAAGTGTGCCATATCATGTAGTATAGATAGTTCATTTTTTTTTGTGTAAAATTCGTATCTGATACTGTATCCAGCCATGTCCTTGCCATTTCCAGGTAACATGGGTTAGGAGTAACTTGAGAAGGATGCCAACCTGATCAAGGTTTAAAATGTTGGTATTGGTGGATGACAGTTTAAAAACTTTGTTGTTGTTCCTGGAGGAAGATGTTTGCGGTTCAATGACAGGGATTCAAGCAGCAGTTCCCTCCCCCTCCCCAGTTTGTACTTCACACAAGGTCTTGATAGATTCAACAATTTTTAAGGAAGTTGCACAGGGTACATCTAATCCAACAGGCAAACCCTCCCTTGGAACGCAGCCTGCTCAGAGTATCTGTTTAGAGGGCCAAAATTCATTACTGTCGCTCCACGCAGAGTCACCGATTAGGGGGCAATCTACAAAGGTAGCTTCGGCTGCATTGGTTAACACAGACTTGGTTGAACCTAGCCAACTTCCAAAGATCAATCAGACAGGGGGACCAGGCCTATATTCAACACCTCTGTTAGCAACTTTTGCTCCTATTCCCACTCTTCCAGTTCCCCTTGATTCAGGTACGTCTGTTGTTTTGTTTTCTGGTACTAACAAGGGTCCTATGCCTGAAACAGGTACTTTGGCTTCTCAACCAGAAGGAATAGTCAAGGAAGGGGAAAATGGGACCACGGTTAAGGGTTGTGGAGAAGAAGAGGGGGAGATTTTCTTGAAAAGGATGCAGGAAGAAGAGTTAGAGAGAATCTAGGAGCAGATTTGTGCTCTCTTGGAGGAATATAAACAGAAAGAAGAGCAAATGGAGGTCACCCCTACAAAATTTGAACAGAAGAAGGAAAATAGAGAGTGTCTGAGGAGTGTTGGGATAGATAAAAGTAGGAAAAAAAATGAAAATATCAAAGGTGGAGAGACCAATCTCAGATATTGAGGGTGATATTGAATTCGGTGGTCAAGGGGAAAGAAGGAATGGTCCTAAGTAAATTTGGGTTGGGGTGCTTGGGAGGGTATCTTTTCCATTCTTTCCTGATGAAAATCATAAGCTGGAATGTGAGGGGTTTAGGAAGTGCAAGGAAGAGAAGATTAATAAAGGAGATGCTTAGAAGAGAAAGGCTGGACATTGTAATGCTACAAGAGACCAAATTAGAAGGGCTGGACAGAAGATGGGCTAGAAGTGTTTGGAATTCAAGAGAGATTAGTTTGGTTTCAACTCCCTCTTGGGGAGCTTCAAGGGGTATAATCACCTTGTGGAAAGAAGATGTTGTCGAAGCAGTTGAGGAATTAGTAGGTAACTTCTCTGTGTCTCTGAACTTCAAGATGGTGGAGGGTGGTTTTACTTGGCTGCTAACTGTTAAGTCCTAAATTTTGCTGGACTGGGAATATGTTTTTAAGCTACTCCCACTTACAGCTTAAAAAAAAAAAAAGAAAAAAAGAAAAATGGGCTTTCTTTCAAAACTAGCTTTTTAAGCCCAGTCAGTCCTACGGATGGGCTGAAATGATTTAGGAAAAAAAGGGGCCTGCAGTCCAGTTTAGTGAACAGCAGGCCCTAAGTTAATTGGGCCTTATTTGTAATGCAATAAGCATTTAATGGGCCTGTAGTAGAGCCCATTTAATTAAGTGAGGGGGACACATGCCACCCTAGGGGAAAGAGTTATTTTCCCTCCTCCAACACTTTAAGTGGGGGGGCACTTGTCACCTCAGGAAGGAATTCTATAACATGGGAGGAGTATGAGAAACTTCATCTATCATCTACTTCCAATGGTACAGCGACCCTTGCCAGATCAGGTATTACGTGACTAGTTTCTCAGTCCAAACCATCCACATAGACTATTGACTCTAGAGCCTCAAACCATATGACTGGGTCTCCAAATGTGTCTTCTTTCCTTCCCCCCTCTTCCACATCACAATATGTTACTTCGGCCGATGGTACTACTTAGTTTCTAGTACTGGTAATTTGACTCTTGATTCTAATTTACCATTACCCTTTATTCTTTATGTTCCTAAATTCCCCTTCATCTCATGTTTGTTAGTAAATTAACCAAGGCATTGAATTGTTTTGTTTCCTTTTTTCCTTCTCATTGTATGTTTCAGGACCTCAAGATGGGGAGGACGATTGATCGCAGGCATGAAGTTGGAGGATTGTACCATCTGGATGGTGGTGGCACAAAAAGGCACTACATTCTTCCCAATCTCCATTTCAATGGCATTGTTGGCTAGGTCATCCTTCACTTCCAGTGCTCAAGAAGTTGTCTCATCACTACGGTCCATTTCTCAATTACAGTGTGAGTTGTGTCATTATAATAAGCATTATCATGTGTCCTTTGTTCTAGAGATGATGCAAGAGCATCTAGTTCATTTGAGTTGGTACATTTTGATGTTTGGAGTCCTAGTAGAGTCGAGTCATATAACGGGTTCAAGTATTTTTTGATGATTATTCAAGGATGACATGGATTTATTTAATGAAAACTTGTTCTGAATTTGCCTCATATTTCTTGTCCTTTACATGCTGAAATTCAAAATCAATTTAGTGTTTATATTAAAGTGTTTCACTCAAACAATGCAAAAGAATACTTTGAAAGTCATCTACGGTCATTCCTTGATTCTCATGGCATTATTCATGAATCTTCTTGTTCACACACTACAACAAAACGGTGTGGCTGAACAGAAGAGTAGACATTTATTGGAAATGGCTTTTGCTTTGTTGTTTCAAATGTCTATTCCTAAAATCTACTAGAGTTATGCAGTTCTCTTGTTTCTTAACTAATCGTATGCCCTCATCACTTCTTGGTGGAGTTTCTCCCTTCTCCTTTTTGTTTCTGTCTACTCCACCCTTGTCACTTTCCCCTAATGTGTTTGGTTGTGTCTATTTTGTTCACTAGTTAGGACCCGAAATGGATAAGCTTGATCCCAAAGCCTTAAAGTGTATTTTCCTGAGATACTCCCGTACTAATAAAAGTTACAAGTGCTATCATCCTCAGCTCTATAAGTCATTTGTACTCCATGATGTGACATGTTTTGGGATTGTGCGTTTTGTTCTAGTACCAAGTCCTCTCGTACATCTTCTTTACTTCTCCTTGTTGCCTCAATGGATGTTGTTATTCCAATATGTAGTCATAATGATGCAAGAGAAGTAGAACCACCTTCTAAGAGTGTGTATCAGAGGACCTTGAGGAATTGTTTATTCCACTCTAGCACCTACTTTGCCACCATTGACTAGTCCATCTGACCTTCATCTTTTCATTGCACTTCAAAGGCAAGCATGCTTGTACTAATCACCCTATATCTCATTATGTTTCATTTGCACATCTATCTCCTACCTATAAGAGATTTGTGTCTCTATTGCCTTTTGTTTCTATCCCCATTCTCTCCAAGAAACTCTTGTTTCTCCTAACTAGAAGAAGGTGATGGATGATGAGTTTGTTTCTTTGGAATCTAATCAAACATGGGATCTTGTTACTTGGACTCCTGGGAAGTAGCTTGTAGGTTGCATGTGGATTTATATTGTGAAACACCATCTTGATGATAGTGTGGAATGGTACAAAGCTTGACTAGTTGCCAAAGGTTACACTCAATCATATGGAGTATGTGATCAAACCTGTAAAAAGCACAAAATAAATGGAGAAAAATCCTAGGAGAATCCCAGGACAAAGAGAAATAGAAGAGAAGAAAGAAAAGAAGATTGGGAATAGGAGTGCAACTTGAGCGGGCCCAGCCCGGAATTTTACACAGGCTGGGCTTGGATTTTTGGTGCTCGGGCCCAAGAAGTCGGGCCTTTTTATTTTTGGGCTGGGTCAAGCCTAGTCCTTAGGTAGCCCGAACCTGGCTCGAGCCTAGCCCAACTATATACATTTATACATACATATGTATATATATGTAAATGTTGCATACATATTTACATATATATACATACATATTTGTATATATAACATTTGTAACATATCTTTCATACATACATAAATATATATATATGCATAAATACATTTATATATGTATAATTTTAGAGTGGATTCATTGACCAACCCAAGCCTGGCCCGGGCTCGAGCCCAACCTAAGTGCATCAAATTACAATGCAAGCTAGGCTTGGGTTGG